CCCCGAAACCCCAAAACCCCAAAACCCCATGTTCTAATAATAGTTCTGATTTCATTACTAAATTAAGCTAATAAATATTATCACTAATTCAAAGTTTTAAAAATTCATACTACTTTTGCTAAGGTTACTGGAGATTAAAATCAAATTACTAGTCCTCATTACTTATTTCATCACTATTTTCGATAATGTTATTTTCATCATTTAAGTTCTGCTGAATATACTATTAATCATAGAATGGATTGCCTGCCTATACTTTAGTGGTTTCTCCACTGCTTTTTTCTGGGACTATTGCAACTATAATTATACCTATGAGAGTTGCTACAATCAAAAAGAGAAAACTTAATGCAACCTTGTCTCTGAAAAAACTTCTGCCAAAATAGGCTAGGTATCTTTTTGTTCTAGTCATAGTGCTGTCCATTCTGACAATACTTTAATCGATTCTTAAGATTTGTTAGTTTTGTTTATCTAAGTTATCTCCTATCACATCTTGGAGGTCGTTTATGTCCTAGACCTTTTGCTTTATACGATACATGGCTTCCTTTGATTTTTATTGGGTGTCAAACCCATGTTTAACCATTGGATTATGCATCATTGAACCTGCTCCATATTACCTTTTATCATCCTATTCATGCTCCATTGCCAGAAGTCCTTTCTCGTCACCCTTGATAATCAAGTCAAGCTTTTTAGCTTGTCTCTCATATTGAATGATTTTCTAATGGTATTGACTGTATTTATCCTTGAACTCAGCTTCTCTTGACTTTGGAATGCTGAACAGCTCTCTCTTAAAGTAGTTGAGCTGGTCTTTCATTTCATTTATAGCTTTGTTAACAGATTTTAATACACCTTCTCTGTCTGCCTCATTCTATTAATTGATTGTTAGTTTATGTCAAATGAGTATCAGACATCATTAGATTTATTTATCTTGAACTTACAGCTTGTTTTGATTGATTAAAGAATCTTTCTATTTTCTTAATCAATGCTTTTATAGTGTCATCGTAATCCTCTATTCCATCCATTTCTAATAATACTGATCTGATTTATTATAATAGTGTTTGATGTTTTAAGATTTTCTAGATTATCTTTTATATATATCGTAAAGGGGTTTTGGGGTTTTGGGGTTTTGGGG